TTATTTTTCGTGTGTATGTTATGCGATATCTTCACCAATTCCATCTTGTTAATATTAATTTTTACTAATCTACCAGTTCGGCCGTTCATTGTATAATTTAAAATTGTTTACTTCGTTTCATACTGTATAATTATGTTAAAGTAAACGCTGTGAATACCTTTAATAGGCGTGTGCATTAATATTGTATTGTATTTAATGTCTCTTATATATGTTATAATGCAAGTTTCAGAGATGTTTCCTCCCGCGAACACTCAGGTTGTGGAATGAGCTCCCTGCCGAGGTTTTCCCAAGAGTCTACAGAATGGGGTTCTTCAAAAGGGGGAAAGAGGTTTCTTCAGGGTCGGCAACGCGCGCGTAATACCTCTGGTATTGCAGGTGTTCATAGGCTACGGTAACCACTTACCATCAGGTGGGCCGTATGCTTGTTTGCCACCCCAGTGGTGTAAAAAAATGCAATAAAAAAAATGCTGTTGGTGTTCCTTTCAATAAATAAAAAATAATTTAATATCATCTCTTCTATTATTTTAGCCATATTTCCTTCGACAGCTCAACCTTGCATTGTAAAATCAATGGTATACAGCTTGTTTCAATCATGCTTGAGTGGAGGCATTGGTTAGTGACAGTTGTAAGGTCAACTATGCAATTGTTTGGTGGTTGATACTTTAATAGGTGTATTAAGGTGCTTTGTAAGGTGTTGATTGAGGTCCACCCACTCAGTGCAGTTTGTTTTATTCATTAGTACATATATGCGTACATGGCGGACTTAATGCTAAAAGCATTCTCTCCCAGTCAACCATAGTGAAGTGTCAGAATACTCGAATGCGGCACTAGTAATAATTAATATATATACATGCTAAAATTTATTTATTTATTTACACTTTATTGCACCATTTATAAATTAGTAAATACATTTGATTGTAATGAGAAATGATACGAAAGGCGGTCTTATCGCTAAGCAATCTCTTCCAGACAACCTTTGGGTAGAGGACATTGAGAAAAGAAAGAAAAACAAAGAATAAGAGGTAATAAAGAGATAATAATAAAATTAAATTTACATATAATATACTATATTGTACACGAAAATGAGAATAGATAGATAGATAGATAGATACTCTTTATTGTTTCCTCAAAAGATTACAATAGTAAACTTATTATAAATATAAATAATTACAAGAAATAATCACAATGAGAAAACAATGGACGACCTTATCGCTAAGAGCGATCTCTTCCAGGCAACCTTTGGATGGAGAGGAGTAATTATAAACAGTTTGGTGGGATTATAAATAGTATAGTACTAAGTGCTCGGATAAAGTATAATTTTTTTTTTACCTATCCCAATAACAAAGTACCGCGTTCGTGATTCACTGATCATCCCAAAGGTTGGCTGGTAGGGAATGCTACTAGCAGTAAGCCCGCCTTTTGCATCTTATTTTATTTTGGTCAATTAAGTTATATATATATATATATATATATATATATATATATATATATATATATATATATATATATATATATATAAGTCAATAAATAAATAAATTAAAGTGAACTCCATTTGGGTGGAGGGGATCACTGTATATCTATGTCTAACTTGTCCATCGAGAAGATCTCACAATGAGGATTCTTACAGTAATGTTATTTTAGGATGAGCAAGAATTACATTCAGATTGTGATCAGAAAATAATTTATAAATATATTATAACAACAATCAAGTCTTTCCTTTTATGAAAAGACATGCTATTGATCAGTTTAATGCATACTTTTAATTTATCAATGGTCACAAACAAGTAAGTTTGTAAGCATATATAATTAAAAACACGATTTCAGAGTACATTCTCTTTACTTTCGCTTCATCACTAATTACTGATGTAAGTGTGTATAGTGATTGGATTGGATCTATGGATATTAACCTAAATGATCCCAAACCATGTGGTTACATACCAACGTACAATCGAGCATTATATAATATTTCACGTTGGTGAATTAGATGGTTATATAAAAAAAAAATGTAAATTTGCAAGAAAAATTTATAAAACAAAAATATAATTAAACTGTGTTCCATAAAAAAAAACTTACTTAAAATATGGGAAAAGCAGTTATTTTAATTAAAAAAACTAAATTACTGGACCAATGTTGATAATAAATCTACGAAACCAATACGTATAATTTTTCAGAATAAAATTTATTTAAAAATAAAAAGAAATTTCCCTAATAGGTTTGCATTTGCAACTGACGGAGTTATACGTTAGAACGGTAAAAAAATTTGATTCTTGAAATTTTGCAAACACCTTCTTTATATAGCGTATCGTGAACAATAAGAAAGGAATTTTGATTATTTAACTCCTAAATAGGCAAAACTTTTAAAATGCCCCCCGTATAAAGTCACGGACGAAAGAAATAACCACGATGATCAACTTAACTGGGCATATTACTAGGAATGGTGCCACTGGTACCCGTTAGTAACAATCTCTTGCCCTCTATGTCACGCGATTGCATCGCCAATTCTGAATCAAGCAAATTATGAACAAAGCTTTGTATTCGGGGTTCCTCAACTGTATCCGATTAACGTCTAACTGTTCACCGTCGTGAGAAAACTATGCCTGTAGATGTTCCAACGAAGATTATTCAAACTAACATAGCTTTACCACTATCAAAGTCTTGTTTATACAATTTAGAATGACAAATATGCTGACGGTCCATCCGATAAAAGTGGTAACTGTCGCCTATAGACATGAACAGTACCATGGACGTAACAGAGTATACTGTGTCGCCAATGATACTCTTCATGCGTTGCCATTTACGTTTTCATTGCAAAAAAGAGCATTATGTACTATGTAACAAATACCATAATGGGAATTATATAAATTCTATTTTAATGTTTATCAAACACAATGCATGCTGTGGTTGCCTATAAATGTAAGAACAGTTAGATCTAATCTGCCAGTGTATTGTATTGAAATGTTTCGCTGTATCTTATGTTGGTAATCCTATAAATAAATAAATAAATACCATTTCAAAGACCTCAAAATTTTCAGAGTAGCAAGCTTATATTTGCTAGACCTTACTGACAAATGGAGAAATCTAAACTTGTATGAAAATGAAGAGGAAATAATATTAAATACTACAATAGAAGAGACGATGTGGTGAATACGTCTTGTCCTAAACTTCGAGTTGCAAAACATTGAGCTTCATTTATTTATACTTTTGCACACTTAAAAATATATTTAAAGGGCGGAATTAATGCCTGATGACAATCTCTACCAGTCAACCGTTACACTAATCAGATAGAATAAATGGCAGTGCTTTAATTTAACAAAACAATTTGTAAATTAACTAAATATTTTGCTTTGTACCAGTCAATCAGATTATTCAACAAGTTACCTATTGATATGAAAAACACTGACAGTTTTAATAGTCTCAAAGTTAAGCTTAGAGATGTTTTATTGAAAGCATGTTTTTGTACTTTGGACGAATTTAATAATTATGTGTTTAACAAGTTGGTTAATTTTATTATTATTATCCATATGTAAGTGCCGTATAGTCCTGGTATAGAATAGGCCACCTCTTTGTTTCCGATGGGTGTCGTAAGAGGCGATTAAGGGAGGGCGAGGGATGGGCAGCAGCGTTTATCTTAAAACATCACAAAAAGTCTACCATCTATAAAGTGTCTTATAGCTCTACCCGCTGACATTGATGCTCCTTTCCACTTTGGGTTTGAAGAGAACTCTTCTAAAGTTAAGCTCATTTTTGATACATTATCTCTGTCATATTTTTTATCTATTATTAGCGTGTACAATAAAGTATATATAAATACTTGTGTCTAATTATTTGATTGTTTAGATTTTCTTTAAGTTCTATTACAATAGGCTGTACTTGCAAAATTGAAATATGGCAACTTGATATTTACAGAATGTATAAATCCAAAAGGAAATTGATATTTCTTATGAGAACGAGATATAACGGGATTCGTGCGAACGAAGCTAGTTCACAAAATCGCAAATATTCCTTGAGTGTTTAATTCCCTTAAATCAAGAATTTAGTATGACAGAAAGAGAAGAAAGAATTAAAAATCTAAAATGAAAAATTGATAAACATTTAACCTTTTATCTAAATAAATCAATCCGGACGTTAATAAACGTTTTACAGACCAATTAGTCTTATTAGCATAGATTTAACATTAAATTTTAATGTTAAATGAGTCATTGTAAGATACAGGAATATATATTAGAATCATAATAAATTTTGAAATAGAAATTTGATCTAAAATGCTTAGTGGACCTAATTATAAATTAAATGTAATAGCTGAAAAAAATTCCAATGTTACAATCAACAAAGTATAGAATGATGAAGATGATGGGGATTTATAATTTAAAATTAATGAATTATAATTGTTAATTGATCAAATAATCACATTCAAAATAACATTACTTGATATTCTACGTTGGTTTTACATTTAATGTCAAAATAGTGTAAAAGTAAATTTCATATATTTATTGGCGACTAAATAGATGAAAGAGATATGTCTATGGCTAAGTTTACGGGGAAAGAGATTATTTATATTGAGTAATACAGTCAAAATTGTGTAACTGGAAACCAGTTTTTCTTGTTTACATGACTACAATTTGTAAGTTCCCGTTAAATAATAAAGCTCAGTGCAAAACAGGTGTATGTATAGTTTAAGCAAAATGGATCAAGGACGTACATACCAGATCGCCGAAGTGCACAATATAGATATTGCTTGATGAAATAACCGTTATAGATACAATAACTCAAGTCATCGGCATCACAAGATACACGAGCTTTCGACTTTCGCTCATTCACATGACACAAGTATTATTACTCTGATAATCATAAGATATATCCTAAATTTATATTAAAACTTCTTAAACAAATGACACACACGTGAATGCGATGATAAAACATCAGAATTTACTTTATGAGAACGAACTTGTGGGCGAATTAAAAAAATAAATTTGAATTTGACAATCGAACAAGACATTCACCTCTTGTCGGAGCGGCGCGCGCACTGGCAGCCGGGCGACTCGTTGCAGAACCTGTTTCGTAGAAAAAAGCACCTCTTCCCGCGTCCACCGCCGACGAACCGACCCTTTGCATATTTCCCTGGTCGCTATTTATCATTGCGCCCGTATTATCCATGGGGAATTGCGCGGAAACATCTTGGAGTTTCTCGGGGACTAGCTGTGTGTCGTTAAGTTGATTGCCCGCGCGGCGCACGTCGTCGGCCTTCGGAATGACCGCCATGTTTGGTCTAGTCAGGTTTTGGCGCGAAATGTCACATCTGCGATCTTGGTGATTTGTTACGACAACGTTTACCACTTGAGGTGCTGCGTTCGGATTTCTCGGTACAACGACTGGAATTCTGCCATACACTGGTTTGCTATTTCCATACTTTTGCGTGCTATCTACGATGCGGGGTTCGGTTAGTGGTTGTGAATTTGCAAAAGCATTTACTTTTAATATCTCATTGGCTTGCTGTAGTAACTTTCTTTGTATATTTTCTATTTCATCTTTAGATGCTTTTGAGTTTTCTGATAATTCGGCTATAAGTTGGTTTACACTGAATTCTGCCATTTTATCTACAGATATATTTGAGTTTATGTTTATAATTTGATTTGCTAAGTTAGTAGTTTCGGTTTCATTAACTTTAGTGATATTTTTCTGTTCAATTATTTTTTTTAGTAGCTTGACTTTCATATCTTTATCTGGTGGGGTAACAATTATGGTCGGAAGATGAGAATCTTCAAATGAAATGCCAATTATATTCGAGTCTTTGCCTTTACCGCGTTTTACTTTCCTCACAGTTCTGCTGGCCATTACATTCTTACAGCTCACTTATTACAATTGTGTTTGATGCTAATAGCTTTTGCAATCATATTTAGTTCGTTATATTCTGTTAAATTTAGATCAGCGTGAATTTTATTTTACTGCACACAATAAGAAATATTAATTAACGAATTAGTGTAATGTTTGAGGCTCTGAACATTGTTTTTATGTTCTAGTTATAATTAATAGGTTTATGCTTAAATTAAAAACTGTATATATATATATATATATATATATATATATATATATATATATATATATATATATATATATATATATATATATATATAGGTGAGAACGAAAAGACAGGTCAGTTAGCCCATCGCAATGAATACACTTGGAATTCAGCACGATAGTTTCTAGGGGGGACCATGTGGAGGTCGACCTGACTGAGTACATTGCTAGCAATGCCCCTCCAAGATTAAGGTATTATGCCTCTAAACCCTGTAATATCATTGCCATATCGTAGTATTTTAACCGAAACACAGCCACACAACTGCTTCACGGCAGAAACAACAATGGGACAAAGGTTTTTTTTTTTATACAACTTAGAATGCCAAACAAGCTGACGGCCCACCTGATGGAAAGTGGTAACCGTCGCCTATAAACATGACCAGTACTATGGACACAACAGAGTATACTGTTTCGCCCATGATACCTCCATGCGTTGCCATTCCTGAGGACTCAGATGTTATTCCTCTGTACCTTGTAAATTCACGGTACCAAATCAGAGGACTTTTGTGCAAAAATATATACTTGTATATGTAAACAATTAAAATAATTATAACCCTTTACTCCATTGTTTAAGATTAAGTAGATTATTTGAAATTATACAAATAAGTGTATTCTTAGATCGAGACATTGCAAATTATAGGCTAAAACTTTAACCTGCAATTCGTAGTATCTCATTTTACCAGTGTACACTGGTGAGTATTTTGAAAATTTATTTTAGCAATTTTGCAACACGTCTAAGACTTTAGCTTGTGATGTTTGGTATCTCATTTTATTAGTACACTGCTTTTTTTAATTGATGATAATGAAATGGTAACCCCGCTTGCGCTAACGGTATATGCTGGCGGGGCACCAGTGAGCGATAATAGGTGACAATGAAAAGGCAGGTCAGTTAGCCTATCGTAATGAATTCACTTGGAGTAAAATACAAGTTTCCAGGGGGAACCGCGAGGAGGTAGACCTGACAGGGTGTATTGCTAGCGATGGGGCTACTGATCCTCATTATTAACAATCCCTTCTCTCCCCACCAGTACACTGGTTTTTTTTTGATGGATGAAAATGGTATGGTAATCCCGCCTGCGCTAACGGGATACGTTGGCGGAGCACCAGTGATAGATAAGAATGAAAACAGGCCAGTTAGCCCATCATGATGAATTCATCAGGAATTAACCATGATAGTTTCCAGAGAGAATCGTTAGGAGGTCGACCTGGTTGGGTATATTGCTAGCAATGGGATTCTCAGTCTCCATTTCTAACAATTCCTTTCCCCCTCCCAGTACACTGGTTAAATATAATAATAAATACGAAAATTTGTAATGATGAACGCATTAATGTTTGTTGAACTTTCACGCAAAATCTACTAAACAAATTAGAATGAAATTTAGTACACGGGTAGGTTATATATTCTAAATTAGCAAATGGGATACATTGTGCACTGAATTGTGCGGACAAAGCCAGGGGCTACAGCTAGTTTTAGAATATGGCAATGTTGCAAGTTGTCTGCCTATGAAATTATTCCCTGCACACAAAACACAAAACTGCAACGCGTGGGCACCGCCCGATATGGAACCGGGACATTATAATGTTTCTCCGACAATATTACAATTGACACACTTTTCCTCGTGTCGCAAGCTTTTGTTATACTTTCAGTGTAACCATGAACAGGTTCTCACATTTGTATCCGATATAAAACGTGTTATTCATAACTGCAGCAAATTGTGACATCCGCGTTTTGCCACTTTATGTAATGTGTGATGCTGTAATGTAATGAATGGTCGAATTTGTGATCGGGTAATAGGAAGACATGTGACATTTTATTTAGATTAAATTGTTAGTGTGTGGAGCATTTAAATTTCTTATTTAAAAATAACATAATATTAATAATAAACCTATTTTCTGATATTGCTTACAACTTAGGTTACATGTTTGTTTTTATTATTTACTCCATTTTCTTGCACTTTATAATTATGTTAAAGTAAACGCTGTGAATACCTATAACAGGCGTGTGCATTAATATTGTATTGTATTTAATGTTTGTTATACCTATATGTTATAATGCAATATGCTGTTGGTGTTCCTTAAATAAATAAATAACTTGTCTTGATACGAGTTGACAGATAATTTTATTTAAATTTCAAGTAAAATTTGAATTTTTACAAAATTAATGTTATTGTTTTATTATAAAATATTATATTACACTTTATTATTTTCCCGTGTAATCCCGCTACAGATAAGACCACCCCTTCCTTTCCCGTGAGTGTCGTAAGAATCGACTAAGTGAGGAGCAGAGATAGGCAGCAGCGTCCCTCTTAAAACATCTGTAAAAGCCTAACTGCGGTTGCCAACCCGCCTGCCAAGCGTCGCAACTATTGGCAAAACCACTTATTTGTGTGCTGTAACTAATGCAAATAAGTTATTTAGTAATGAAGACTGAGAATCCCATTGCTAGCAATATACCCAACCAGGTCGACCTCCTCGCGGTTCTCCCTTGAAACTATCATGGTTAATTCCTGATGAATTCATCATGATGGGTTAACTGGCCTGTTTTCATTCTCATCTATTACTCTTCACTGGTGCTCCGCCAGCGTATACCGTTAGCGCAGGCGGGGCTACCATACCATTTTCACCAATCAAAAATAAAGGTATCTATCTATTTTAAACGTAACGTACGAAATGTGTGTAACATTTAGAAATATTATTAAAAGCGCTTTGTATTATCAGTCAGTAACTTTTTGATTATGCAGGTTCTTGCTTTGATCATTCAGAAGATCGATACCGTATATGTATAACTATAATTCTAGGTGACCCGGCAAACGTTTTGACCCCTACAGCCACATACTGGGTCAATTTTCAACCAAATTCAAAACGAAGTAGATTACATGCGGTTGTATTTACCGTAATTCCGTTAGTTGTTTTTTAAATCTACTGCAGCCTCGGAAATTTGTTATCTGTTGAGAAGAATTCGCAAGAAACTCAAAAGTTGCTCTCTTAAATCTTTTAAAAGTTTATTTAAACGTACTATGTTTAAAATTACATGGTCATGAAAAAGTCCGTGCGTTATCGACTTCTTTTTTTTGATGGGTGAAAATGGTATGGTAACCCCGCCTGCGCTAACGAGATACGCTGGCGGAGCACCAGTGAAGGGTGACAGATGAGAATGAAAACAGACCAGTTAGCCCATCATGATGAATTCATCAGGAATTAACCATGATAGTTTCCAGGGGGAACCGCAAGGAGGTCGACCTGGTTGGGTATATTGCTAGCAATGGGATTCTCAGTCTCCATTACTAACAATCCCTTTCCCCCCCGTACATGATCGACTAGCACCATGCACGTTTGTCATTCAAGTAATCGTTTAGTGTGTAATAGGCTTTGATTAAAAATGTTTATAATAACAGTTTAACATTTATTAAAAGGTAGATACAAAATGTTCTTCCGTATCTTATTATAACACTAGCGGCCCGTCCCGGCGTCGCACGGGTGGACACTTTTGACATTTCCCTTCACTGCTCTTCTCCTATTGATCGCAGCGTGATGAAAAGTATACTAAAATCTGCCCAGAAGAATGAAGAATAATTGTACCAACTTTCGTTAAAATCCGTCAAGTAATTTTTGTTTCTATAACGAACATACAGACAGACAGACAAAAATTTTACCGATTGCATTTTTGGCATCAGTATCGATCACTAATCACCCCATGATAATTGGGTGATGGGTGGATGATTTTGGAAATATATTTCATGTACAGAATTGACCTCTCTACAGATTTATTATAAGTATAGATTTAATGCCTATTCCCATAAAGTACCTATTAAATTTCTCTTAAAGATACTTCGGATATCGCGGGCCAAATTCTGGGAAACAGCTAGGAAAGATATATTTGTCTCGGTTTGTATGACTTCAATTTATACGTAACCTAACATTAACACTACGAATTTCCATTTCTGGCCAAGAAATGGACAGATTTATTTATCGTACAATATTATGGCATTACCAAATAAAGCAAGCCGTATCAAATTTAATGTCTCGCGTTTATATAAAGAAATATGACACTGTAATTTGTGGTCCGTAATTCAAATACTGACAAGCAAGGACGACGTCGAATCTAAGAAGTCAAGTATTACTGCGGTGGGTATAATTAAGCAACTATTTTTTTTTTTGATGGATGAAAATGGAATGGTAACCCCGCCTGCGCTAACGGGATACGCTGGCGGAGCACCAGTGAAGGGTGATAGATGAGAATGAAAACAGGCCAGTTAGTCCAACATGATGAATTCATCAGGAATTAACCATAATAGTTTCCAGGGGGAACTGCGAGGAGGTCGACCTGGTTGGGTATGTTGCTAGCATTGGGATTCTCAGTCTCCATCACTAACAATCCCTGTCCCTCCTATGTATTTGTTGTGTCCTAGCAGCCCGTCCCGGCTTCGCACAGGTGGACATTTTTACATTTTAAAAAGTGGCCATTAATACTCTTCAAATGGCAAAACCAACTGGTTGGTTTTTGACAATAAATCAAATTTATTTGCAAAATGTATTAAAAAATATAATCTAATTTTATAAAGGGGATTCCTTGTGTCATAATTAAAGGTTGTGTCCCGCAAAAGAATACCGGCTTCAATTGTGACAGAATCAGTTATTTTGATCTGAAAACTAAATTACTGGACCGATTTTGATAAAATCTCTATTGAACCAATCCGCGAGCATATTATTTCAGATTAAAAAGAATTTTTCAAATCTGTTCAGAATTGACGTTGTTACTGAAATTGAAATCATTTATTAGTTGCAAATATAAAAACTTATTGAATAAAAAATTATAATAATTTCATCATAATAACATATACATTTGCAATAATATTTTGTCGCTTTT